GTGACATTGTCTACCTCATGTCCAAAACACAACAACAAATAATTTTTCTTTTTTTCAATAAATGTTTGGACGACGGGTAAGACACGACCATAATAAAATTCCAACCACAATATGTAAAAAAAAGTGAATTACATTGTAACACATTACGTTCCTTGCATGCAATAACATGAAACATAATTTGTTCGAGTAAACAGTAGTGAATATATAAATACAAATTCATGAAATTACATAGGTTGACCATGACTACTTTTTCATTCGTTGTATATTTCCAATGCCATCTGATTACGAAATAAACGACCATTCAGTAGATGTCTCCACATTGTCTATGACATCATCTGTATGTTCACCATCAACAGAAATTTTTTCGGGCAACTCCTCTTTGAAAGGGTCAACACTCATTTCATTCCTAATTAAGTTATGTAACAAACAACATGCAACTATGATGTAGTTATAAGTGCGCACAAGATAGTAACACACGGTGCCTTAAGAATCACCCATCTATTTTTAGATAATGTAAAATATCTCTCAATGCTTGTTCTTACTGCATAATGCCTCAGATTAAACAATTCTTTGGGATTTTGAGGTGCGGCAAAACCAGCTGCAAATTCTTGGATATGATTTTGTTGACCTCGAAATGGTGCTAAATATCCCTCCCCATTTGTATATTCAGCATCAACTAGGTAGTACGTGTCTGTATTGTATAAGAATATATTGGTTACATGTATCCAACATATGTAATTTTATTCATAGTTACATGTTTGTTGTACACACAATCTGAATATAATACTTACCACGTGCTATCTTCAACCCATTTGGCTTAGTAACAACATCTCACAATATCTTAGAATCAGCAGTTGGCCCTTCCTAGGCAGGAAGCACGTAAATGAACTTCATGTTTGGCGCACATACCTCCAACACATTTGTTGCTATGTCACCTCTACGTGTTCTATATCTAGCTTGATGGACAAGAGGTACTCGAGCAGGAACATACATGTCATCTAATGCACCAACACAATTCTATAAAGCCAATTGAGTAACAATTTTTTTACATCTTTAATCAAGTAATAAAACCTAACAAAGGCTATGGTAATACGCATAATAAACAGTGTTTATATTAATGTCAAAGTATGGACTTACCGTAAACCATTTTCATTTATTGGTTGTATTGTTCGTCGGTATAGGCTCAGGAGACTGAAGCAATAACCTACACAGCCCTAAAATTGTCGTAAGCACATTATTGAAATGACGACTAACAATTTCACCCGAGCGAAGAAAATTGAACTTAACCGGTCTATTTTTTTCATCATGAACTAAAATACTTCAGAACATCGAACATCCATCTCCTTCACACTTACGTTCCTAATTGGACCTAAATGCCCCACATCACGTACCATATTACACAGTACCACAAACGTGTGCCTATCCATATTGAGTTGGCTTATACACGTTCTATCACTCTCCCCAATGAGACGGTGCAAGTGTTCAATCTATAACCGGCTCCTTTAAAAGTGTTGTGGAACCTCATAAGTGGTACCATTGTTTTATATGTCTCATATCATCAACATTATAGATACCACAAGATTAAACACAACAACCATCTCTCGAATAGTCCTATGCATAAGGGTAAGTAACGTACATAATTCATCGTTAGGGCTATCCATGTATACTAAATTCATCCAAAAATATTCATCCAATAATGTTGTTATCACCAATTTATGCTACTCTTACTGAAAAAAGAAGTTAATTATTTTAGTTTGTAGCGTTATTCAATAATCTTAAAAACATGAAAAAATTTATCAGTGTTCCATACAACTAAAAACAAATGTAAGCATAAATTCTATGTGCCTTCATCATATTCTCAAATATGTAAACAACTTCATTTTAGTCAAAGTATTCAACCTCACAAATCATCTAACACAAAAATAAGAACAATGGCCCAATAGATAAGACTGCACAAGTGTCCAACATGATTGAGAATACCTGAGTCGTGGCTTAAAACGTTGAAAAGGTGATCCGATACACTGTTAACAAAGTAAAAACTGGTTTAACACAACAACACATGGCAGAACGCAAACAAAAACATGAAAACTCTGCAATAATTACTACAATTTCCCCCATACTAGTGTGTGTGTGTGTGTGTGTATACGCTTTGGATAATCTGTGTTTAAGACTGTGTCCCACAAGCATCGTGTCTGGTGTGTGTATGTGTCGCTAAAATTACTATGTCAATGTATCTGATTATTTTTGCCTACTGGTTAGGAGATCACACTAACTAAACATACACCCAGACATACACCCCCACACTCACACACACCCCCACACACACATAGACATATAGGTAGAAGTTGAAAGAGAACATACACCCACAAACACACAGACGAGTTAGGAGAACATACACCCACAACGACAACGACACAGACAAGGTAGGAGAACATACACACACACACACAAAGCGACATAGAGGGAAAAGAGGTAGGAGTGACACACATTAAACATACACCCACACATAAACAAACACACAACAATAGAGACACACAAGAAGGAGAAGATAACGCTAATTGCACATCCACACACACACACATAGAGACACATAGCGATACACACATAGAGACGCAGCAACAAAGACACGGAAGATAGGGGTATCTAGCTTTATTCATGTATGTGTGTGTTACTCACTGCTGGGTAACACATTACTCTCTGTTGTGTGTCTGTATTAAGCCATATTCATACAATTTCTGCTAGGTAGCACAATATCAACAATGGGTTACAGAGAGAAGGTATACAAGGATACAGAAAGAGACAGTCAGAGAAAGCGATAGAATGAGAGACTCATGTTGGGGAAGAGTGAAGTAAAATGCATATTTTACAAAAAAAATACCCAACATACACCCATACAAAGCTACACAGACAGAGAGATATAGAGATAGAGAGCGACACCCAACCCAATGAACCCACAATAGGACACAAATCGATACACTGACATAGACTAACATCTCTCAACTGATACACAAAATTTGCGATATATATAGACACAAAAAGATAGCACACCTTGCCAATGGAGAGGATTTGGCGGCATTCGAAGATGGGGACCAGTGAAAAGGGGAAAGATAGGATAAAGAAACCCTACTTTAGTGTTTTATAGGGGTGTAATGGTAAAAACACTTGTGTATCTTATCGGCTACTGCTTAATCCCAAATTTTTGGTGGGATTTGTTTATCCACTTGAGAGGGGATAAATGAGCCCAATAACTATGGGCCGAGTTTTTCAATACCAACGATTGTCCAGCCTTCAGATGCCTTGCCAAACTAAGGATAAATGGGCCCCACCGTTTTCTTATCCAATACAACATTAGTTATTCAGGTTTATTTATCAACCCAAATACCCTCAAAAAATTTGTATGATTTTATATATGAGAAAATATTTAAATGTTAAAAAAAATTTCTTAGGTTGTAGACATTCAAAACCAAGTTTATCACCAATAAAAAATATAACAAAAATTCAAATTCAAGTTAATTGCCAATAAAAAAATAACAATGACAAATAAAAAAAAAAGTGAAATCAATTGCACCAAAAAAAATTCAAAACTAACTATAATTGTTTTTTTCTTATTTGCATTCACTTTTCCTCTTGCTAATGTTCATATTTTTTTGAATACTTGAATAGTACAAAATAGACATCGAAACGGAAAAAAGGTCAGTTAAATCAATTTTTTTTTTGACGTGGTGAAATTTTGATTTTATTGATTTGGTTTAATTGCTGCGTAAGAATATTTTTGTAGCATCCGAGAAGTGACAGCGACAGAGATTTTAAATCAATTGTCTTTGTGAAAAAATTAAGGCTTTGGTCTAATGATTCTCTTTATCTTATAAAAAATATTTACTTTTTTGAGGTCAAAGATTTAAGTTCCCCTCCCCCCAAAAAAAATAAAATTTGTGGGTCTTTTGGGGGTTTAAGTGTATCTTTATCTTATACACTACATGCCCTTTTATAGCCATTGTTTTCATGTCCACAATTATTTACTGTATTATCTTCCACATTTCTTCAGATTCTATCACGTGACACTTCCTCCACAAATCTGGGATGCCAGGTGTTAATATACTGAATGAGCTCGTTTGATAGACGTATTATGAAGAGATTAAATATTGAATTGTTATATTTTTTATTTAATTAAGCCTAACACTTTGTTTGGTAAGCAAATTTAATATTGTATTAATTTCAAAAACGTATATTAATCGTCTACTTATCGTTTATTTTTTATACGATAGACCTGTATTATAGAGGTTTTTTAATATTATCAAGAGAGTGGTATTATAATCCAACTCAAACGTATTATTCTACACATTTATTATTATAACCTCCAAAGTGATAAAATCAAGTTGTCATCAATGAAACAGATACTGATTGAGGGTATTTTGTTAATTTAACATTAATACGATGAAATAATTTTATAACCAAACAACTAATTAGATTAAATAACGACTATCCAATGATTATATTGTTTATTGTCAAATACTAGACAAAATTACGTATTATTCTAATACCATATTTAATATTGCTTTTAATATATTGTATTGTATTGTATTGGACTATATTACTTTATTTAATTTATCCATTTTTAATCCGACAATCAAACGAGCCCAATATTTCTAGGAATTGATATTTTATGTCCAAATAAATATATTTCAAGATATCTCAAAGTAGTTTTAATATATTCCAACCAATATTTCATAATATTTTGAAAATAAATTCTCAAAATTTTTATTTTATTTTTAAAATTTTTCTGTTTATGTGTCTGAAAGATTCAAAATAATGCACGAAAATAAAATTTTTATCCTTAATTTCAATCTACAAAATGTTTGGGTTTTTTCGATGTTTTGCAACGAAATTTGATGCAATGCTGTATTTTAAAAGCCCAAACTCAACCGCAGGCCGGTCTTCGCTATTCCCCTCGGTCACGACTTTTCCTTCCTCACCACCACCAATCGCCTTGCTGTGTGCGCCGTCACCGACCGCCACAGACGCGATCACTGCTCTGACGACATCCAGGTATGCCCTTTTTTTCCCCTCTTTCATCTTCTTCTCCTCCCCCACCTCTAACTCACCACAATCCGAGAAGCCCCCATCACCAGTGCCCGACACACATACATACACACAGAGCTCACAGCGCCATTAGCTCCCATCTCCACTCAACTGGACACACACCAGCACAAGTACACAACACTAGTCGGAGAATTCGCATTTCCAGTTCCGACAACCCGGACACTCCAGAATCCAAAAATTCCCAGAAATTCCAACCCCATTTCCTTTTTGGGTCCGTGGACCCGAAGGTTGTAAAATCTTCTCCACTAATTATCGATCAGATATGATGGATTTGGTTAGAGAAGTCGGGTGGGTCTTGTGATTGTTGTTGATGTTTGATTAATGAATGAACAAATGTTCGGTGTTTCTTAGTGTGCTAGTATGTGGGTTTAGGACATCTTAAAGTCGGATTGTAACATCTTTTCTACAGTAATCTATATTCTCTGCCAGCAAGTCCAAAAAAAAAACGATGTTCAGAGCTGATATTCTGCAAGTTTCTTGGTTCATATTCAAATCTAATGAGTTTGTGTTCTTTATGTCCATCCACTGCCCCAATCCTGGGTAAGCCCTTTCTCTGTCTTTTTGGTTCTTGGAACAAAACCTGTTTTAATAGATGCTATTTTTACTACAGCCAACAAATATCAAAGTTTGCATTTTTATTCTTAAAATTGAAAAGATTACCTAGAGCTTTGGTGGATTTGACTTCTTTGTGTTATACATATGTTTATTTTTTCATTTCCCAGTTAAGCTACATATCTATGTACTGAGGAGCTGTTCATTTTATGTGTGTGACCAAATGCATGTTTACTTCCAGTTTGATTTTTTTTCTTAGTATAGCTCTCAGTATCGATTACCCACTACATTTTTATTATTTAATTGAAGGTGGTGATGGACTGTCAACTTCTTTCTTTTAATCGGGGCAGTGGTTTATCTAAATCTTACCAGATTTGTCATTTCCAGAAAATTGGTTCTTGGAAAAACATACCTTGTGGGTCTTGTTATCTGGTAGCAGGTATATCATTTCATCACTTGGTTTAGCAATATTAGACATTACTTAATGCTTTTTTTTTTCATGCAATATGTTGCAAATGTTTTAAAATTAGGATGCTATAAAGGATATCTGACTTATATATGCATTGTTTACTACTATTTTTTGTATTATCATGCCATGGTATTGTTTTTTTAAGTTGGATTGGAGGGTTTTTTAGGATGAAGTAACTTAAAGCAAGTTGGTTGTACTGCCTATCAGGGCTAAAAGACTATGATTCCAAAAATGATACGTAGTGTATGATTCATGAATTGTTAAGCATCTTACTTTTAGGCTGGTGTAAGTGCAACTGCTCCAAAATTTACCTTTGAGAATGTCTTGGGTAAGAAAAAATGGGTGGATGGAATAAGAGTAGATCCCAAGGTATGATTTGGCCCGCCGTTATGGTCTATGTTCACAAAAAGTAAGAGCACATGGGTGTCTTTCTTGTTTTAGAGTTACTCTGCTTCAGCAAAACTATTAAGTTGATAAAAGAGAGATAGGAAAGTACGATAGGGAACCAAGAAAATCAGGATTCTTGATCATTGGGCTCAAGGGTATGATTAGTGATTCCACATGACTCCCTCATTTGTTTGTCTTTTACTTGTTTTTAGCTTATTAGGATTCTCTTTTCTTCTTGCTTTACGTTATGATTGAGAATTCCATGTCCTCTCATGTGGTCCCTTTATTCATCTGTTATTATAATCTCTTGTTTACCATAAATGGATAAAAAAAGGAAAATTCAGGAATATTTATTGAATCAATCTCAAGAACCACTCCAATCAAGTTGACATATTACTTCTATGAATCCTTTGAGTCATACCTATGATAGTGCTTGTGCATCTGTAATCAAGCTTTATACCTTTTTACGGCTAGTTCAACTTGAAGTGTGGTTTTACTAATTATCTTACTGGTCACAGAATCTTTTACTGTGCGAACAATAGCATTACTTATTGATGATTAAGTATGACAGTTATATTGATATTTAGGCACTTCCAAACTTCATGATTTTCTACTTCTGATATGTATAACGACCTTTTTTTCAATGATTCTACGACGTTGCTCTTCTCTTTTCATTTTTCTTTTAAAATTGGAAAGCTTTAATATTTTAGATATATGCTTAGCTTGCTCAAACTCTAAAACACAAAATTCAGGTGGGTAGGTTGACTGAGTGTTTTGGAGCTATCGTTTATCATGCCCATGAAAATAAAAAAATATTCCTTCAATTACAGAAAACAATTTGAGCCTAAAAATTTAAGAAATTGCTTTAGAGTCGAGCGCAAAGTACACAATTGTACTGGTCTTTCAACAAGTAGGGTCTCATCTCATTTGCCACAAAGGTTAGTCTCTTATTTTTTTCATCACTGAGAACACGTGTAAAGGAGAACCATGCAAAGAAAATTTTGAGACAAATCTTCAGCATTACATTAGTTTTTACTTCCATAGGAAAAGTAGGAGGCTGGTTGGTTCTATTTTGAAACATGTCAAGTTATATTTAAGCCAATTTAGACTACCTGGGGCTTGTTCCGACTAAAATTATGGTTTTAAGCTTTCTTTCATATGTTTCTTAGCCTCTTAACACAATTACCTCTAATGATAACTGCATAGGCTTTGTGAGGATGATTGCAGTTAATCAACTTCAGCTAATAACCAATACTCCTATTTGTGATTTAGGAAATATTCTAATACATATCGAAGTGTCTAATCTGGGAACAGTGCTAACCCTTGTTAAGGGCTCTCCTAGTGCTTCTTAATTTTTCTTCCTCAAAGTTAAAATATGTGGCTAATCTCATTTAAAAGAATTCCTGGATCTCTGACAAACTCATTGTATACAATAAATTTTGGCAAGAAAAATTTTAGTTTTGTATTAGAGGTAAATAATTAAATGAAATAAAAATGGAGAAAGCGGGATGAGTAGAGTCAAAGGAGTTCATATATAGTTCTAGAAGCACATCAACCTGGAGCTGCAATATATGAAGATTCCTTCAATGGATTTATATTTGTGCTCTCAGCCTCTCACAGTTTAACTTTGTTTGAAGAAAGTGAGTAGAAGAACAACACCTCAATTGAATCAATGGAGAATCATTATGTTTTTTGTTCCTCTCGACAGTCTTACTCCTTCCCTAAGAAGTAAAAACTTTCTGATTGATCTTGGGTTGGATGAGGAGGCAGAAGTTGATTTGGTTCATTGATTGGAAGTTCAGCTAGGGTTTGTAATGATGGTTCTGGCTAGCAAGATGTTGACTTGATGTGGTACTCTTCCTTGTATTCAGTATTGGTTTATGTTGTGTTTGTTTTCTTTTTAATAAAAATGGGTTTAGAGGTAATAGAGACGGAGACATAGAAGTGCAGAAATAGGCTTGCTTGATGTGTATTTAGAGGCAGTTCATGTTAAGGCTGTAATCATAATTCTTTGAAAGAGGCTTAATTATAAGTTTTTATTTTTTTTAATACTTAATTCTTACAGAACTCCTAAATATGAGAATTATGGTAACCGCAAATAAGACTTTCTATCTCATTCCGGGAAAAAAATAAGACTTATGTCTTTTGGAAATAAGTAAATTACTCCAATCTTGGCTTAAAATTCTCCCTTGCAGGTATGTCCTATTTATACACCTCTTCCTTGACCATATCATTTGTTGGTTTATAGCCTAGGACTACTGGTGGATTCTTTCTTTCTTTAACTAGGATACATTCTTACCAATATGTTTTTGGCATTTTCAACTTTGATGAGGTCGCTCCACATGAGTGGCACGGATTAATTGTATGTGGTCACTTGACTTTACTCGCACCGGGATGACTCCCATATCTTTATTTGGATTGTGTTACCTCTTGCTTCTTATGATGTTCTCATCTTTCCACCTATCTCCTTCATTACTGTCATTTTTCAATCATCCTATTATCCTCTTGTTTGCCATACTCATTTTGTGGACTAGTCTTATTCCAGATAAACTATGCTTCATAATGTTGTTGTATCATAAATTTTCCTGGTGCATCCCTTGTGTTTGATTTCAACTACTCTAAAAGTTTAAGTAGTTAGATAAAGTGTAATTTAAAGTATTTATGTACTTCAACACGCCTCAACGTGTAAGCTAGAGCAAGATTCAAAGTATCAGCGAAATTCAATGCGGCTCAACCGAGTTGTATCTGACTCGACCACCTTTGATCTGATAACGATATCTGACACCAAATACCATGAGAGTAAGCTAAATCAGAGTTGACTTGGCTACAACCATAACCGATACAAAGATCTTAACCAACAACAACCAACCAAAAGATAGATGAAGAAGAAAATTAAAGACCCATGGGAAGCACAAATTATGTAACTATAAATCATGCTCCCTTTTGAAACTATACAAAGGGAAAAAGAAATTTAAAGGATTTCAAGACAAATTTGGAAGCTGCGAAGGACGAAGCAGAGAGCCCCTTTCCTCCATCTCCTCCTCCTTCCAAGCAAATCAGTGGCGTAGGCAACACAGGTTCTCTCACATCTCTCGTCACCCAAGTTGTTTCTATCGATTTCTCGTCTCTCGTATCTCAGACTCTCTCTCTCTCTCTTTTTCCTAGACTCTCTGTAGTCTTATCACGTTCAAGAGACTTACTCTAGTAAGAATATTCTAGAATCCTATGCTAAAAAGAAATTCTATTTATTATACTATTCTAATCTACTTACTGCCTATCCAAAAAATATTTACATATTGTTTCAAAATTTTGAATCTTTAAAATTAGATGTTGAAAATTACATTAGACCCATATTTATAAATCATTGAAAATTTTGTTTTTCTTATTTTAGTTCAATTAAAGAATTAAATACTAATATGTTCCAAATAATTATAGTGGGACATATTAATGGTTGATGATTTTTGGTAGTGTCCTTATCTTTCATTTTCACTATGTTTAATGTATCAGATGATGTATTTTGAACATATGATGCATAGATGTTATTTATATTTTTTGAAAAATTTATGATTTTTTAGGCCTTCTATCTAATATTTTGTCTGTATCAGCTGATACAAGGCTAATATGCTACGATCAATGTATATTAGCACCCTTCAAGTCGATGAATGATATTGCGACCTTGAACCATGAGCTAGATTTTAGGCCAAGGAAAGCCTTTAAATTGTCGAGGTGGCGACAAGATTCAAACGTTGGTGCTCTTGATTTGATATCATGTTAACCACCAATTACTCTAAAAGTTTAGAGCAATAAATCAATGAAGCACGAATACTTTCGAGAAGATGACGTATCCGTGTCCGGACACCAACACTCTTTGGACATATGTCAAATACTCTTTTATTCGTGTCCATAATTAAATGAAAAATTTTAATTTCAAACACGTGTCCGTCACTTTTTTGGTGATGTGTTCGATATTTCTTTGGTGATGTGTCCGATATTTCTTTGGTGATATGTCCGATACTTCTTTAGAACACGTCTACTACTAAATAATAAACATGTGTTGAAATGTGATTAACAAAGTTTAAAATTTTAAGAACGTATAATTACTAATACTAGATATGTTAAAACTGTACTCCAAATATAATAATGTATAAAAATAAAAGATGCATAAAAGTTTTAAAAAAGAGTAATTGAAAAAATGAGAGCAATTATTTAAATTATATATTAGGTATACAGTTTGCCAAAAAAAAAAAATTGATGATTATTGACTATTATGATGATGTTTTAGTCTACAAATTTACACATATATCTCTATATTTACTTATCATAAAATACTGAATCTTTTATGAATTACATATCATTATCATTATATTTGCAATAATGTTACACAAAATATAATTTTTTGTAGCGTATCCCAACGTGTCCTACTGTTTTTAGAAATGTCGTGTCTGCGTGTCTGTGTTGTGTCATATCCGTGTCGGTGCTTCTTAGCAATAAACTATTAGAGTAACTTAAATATTTATATACTTCAACATCATTACTGTCCCGACGGTTAAGGCAGATGGTCATAGTGCTTAAATTAATTAAACTCTGCAAATTTATGCAATTTTGCCTATAGAATGGAGTGTATGCTTAAGCTATTGATAGCGTAAAACTGATATATGCCTTTTTAATATTTCTTGTCCTTTTTCTTTTTATTTTGTATTTGTTGGTTGTATCAGGATCACCTCGTAAGCCTATTGGATGCTCAATGAAGTCTTATAGGCTATCCGAACTTACTCAGCCTGAGGTTGATGGCCTCAAGGCTCGCCCTCGTATTGATTTTTCTTCCATTTTCAGTGTGGTGAGCCTTTATGTTTCTCCATAGGGAAAAATTTTGGTCTTTTAAGACTTTCAAAGTATGTTCATTGGCGTTTGTCTCAAACTTTGACTTGGTATATTGACAATTATTGTGGCGTTCATACCGTTTCAGGTTCAACCCATTGTTGATGATGTCCGCAATAGAGGCGATGCATCTGTTAAAGAGTTGGTGCTTCCTTTCTTTCAATTTCATATCTTTTTTTTTTCCCATCATCCATTAAGGTCTTTGGGATTAGGATTGTTTTGATACGCCTCTTAGCTCCTGCAATGGTGAGGCTCACTCTGAAATGGTGCTTATATTTCTTGACAGTTATACTATGCGATTTGACAAAGTTGAACTTGACAAGATAGTGGAACATGTCAATGAACTTCCAGATCCAGAGGTCCTTCTTTTATTATTTTAGAGTACTGTTTGAAATATAAATCAGCACAAGATGAGAAATTCCTTTGATTTCAGATGTTAATATTTCTAGCCTGAATCAAGATGAGGAATTCATTTGATATTCAGCTGTTGATAGTTTTAGTTTGAATAAATTGATTTTGAAAATGACTTATCTGCTGTTTGCTTTCTTAGTTGTTGAAAAATCTTAGCTGTTTCCTTAATTCAGCTTGATGCAGCTGTTCAAGAAGCTTTTGATGTGGCATACAGCAACATATACGCATTTCATTCCGCACAAAAATCAGTTGAGCAAAGTGTGGAGAACATGAAAGTAAGTAATATAATATTGCTTAAACCTTCTCCCTGTTTTATTGCCCATCTGACTTTGGTTCTTTTGTTATTTTTATTTGTTCAGGGTGTTAGGTGCAAACGAGTGGCAAGGGGCATTGCTTCTGTAGGCCTTTATGTTCCTGGGGGAACTGCTGTTTTACCTTCAACAGCTCTGATGCTTTCAGTTGTATGGTGATTTAGTTTAATGTTTAAGTTGCTTTTCTGGGCCAGGAAATTATATTCTTTATGTCATATGATTGACATCTAGTTTGTCATGTTAACCAGCCTGCACAGATTGCTGGGTGTAAAACTGTTGTGCTTGCAACTCCTCCCAGTCACGATGGAAGCATCTGCAAGGTACTTATTTCCATCTTGATAAGGTATTTTATTATGCTATTACCGAACAGGAACTACTGAATTGTCTCATATAGGAAGTCCAGCAGCATCTGTAATGTGCTTATTTTCATCTCAATAATATACTTTGTTATGCTGTTATTTAACAAGAACTATTGAATGCTGTTGTATAGGAAGTGCTTTATTGTGCTAAGAAAGCTGGTGTGACGCACATTCTTAAAGCTGGAGGTGCTCAGGTAATAAAGCATTATAAATAAATCCAACATATATATTTAGGGCTACATTTTGCCAGCCTGTTCATATGTTCAGTTTTTAACTTTTTTTTTCTTAATATTTTGATATTGTTGAACTTTTGCAGGCAATTTCTGCGATGGCGTGGGGGACAGCATCTTGCCCTAAGGTAGCACTTTTTATACGATAATCTCCCAACCTACAGAAGTAAGCAGTAGTTCTTTCATTTTGTTGGCCCCTATGTGTATGAGCTTGTGTAGTTCAGATTAAAGAAGGTTCTAACATGAATTTTCATTCTGAAAGAAACTTTATACATCAATAGAGTTGATATGTACGAACCTCTAATGATGTTATGCATTTTCTCATCTAACAGTTGGATTTTTGGTGATTGGCTTGCTTTTATCTTACAGTACCAGTCATAGGTTTAGCATCATGAAGTCATGATCATTATGTACGTACATCTTAGCCTTCACATTGATGATCTGTCAAGAGGAGAGCTGCATAATTTGATTCCAACATATAAAAATCAAGTCTGATATATTTCTTGAGGGTCTCATGGAGATTCAGTTCTCCCACATGGGAGCCATTTATAAGTTGTCCTTGGCCCTTAATCTGATTTGATGCTAAAAATTTTCCTGGATGGGTAGTTGCTGGCAGAAGAGGGTCTGTGTGATCCTTTCCTGATGTCAATTGAATCTATGTGTCTCTTAATGTTGGAGAATTTAGCACTGCTCCTGATGAATGAAACCCACCAAATATATGTTGGTCCAGAATAAAGAGAGTCCAAAATGAGCAGCTTAAGTCCAACACCCAAGAGAAGAGGTCCTTTTTAGTGTCTATACTCTTGTGGGTTGTCAATTAATGGATGCTTCCAAGTCAGTTGAATGTGAGAATTAAACTTCGCTAGGAACAAGGGACCATCTCACAAAATCAACAATCAATTACCCCCCCATCAATCCATACTCCAATAGTTGCATTACGCCTTCTGCTTATAAAAGGAAGCAATACTCCATGAGCAATGCACTCAATATCCCTACGCAGCACATGCAAAAGCACATAGGAGCTAAATGATTTCTTTCATTCCTATGCCTCACACAATCTGATTTGTGCATTAAGAGCCTTGGGCCGGATGTTCACTTGACCTCCAAGTCTCTTTTCAGTCATTTCTTCAAATCATCACAAGTCTCCGGTTGGCAACTTAGTTTTTATATCAACAGTTTGGTGCTGTTTGTAGGGACATTCGTGTTCTCCGCTGAAGTTGAACTGAAAACACGCTTGGTTCACACTCTATGGTCATTGATACCAGATCGATGAAAAACACACGTAAATACCAGACAGCTCCCTTTGTTGGTTTGCAACTTGAGAAAAGCCCTAACAGCCAGAAATGCAAAACTAGGTCCTTGAAAATACAGCTTCAAGCCTAATTCAGATGGTGCATCTAAGTCTCTAGCAGAATCAACTACTACTATAGCAGATGCAACAATAATCACCACCACTACCATTGTTGCATTTTTCTTCCCACAGCCTGTCATAATGACAGTAAGGAGGGAAAAACCTCCTCGGGAAGTAGGAAGCCAAAAGAAAGCCTGGCGGAGATCATGAAGAGGCCAAGTTACGAGAAGGTGACATCAGGGAACAAATTTGTGATAAGTCCCTATCACAGAATGGAAAGCTTTAGTAAGTTTGAGCTTAGCTCGACAACGTTTAAGATTGCGGGAGAGGGGTTTGAAATGGCATAGACAGGAGAAAAATGGGTATGCATCTGTTGGAGAGCGGGCAGAGGAGAGCTGGGCGGGAAAAATAAGCGATTTTTTTTCGTTGGATTGATTTTAAATTGATCCAAACCATCTATCGGGTTGATGGGGGTATATTTTCAAATCGTAAAGTATAGTATCATAACTTATGTATTCGTGCATAGTTTTTATTTCCATAATATAAAATAGGAAACTGTACATACTCTCTTCATGCGAGGGTAAGACCGACATACGTCTACCCCCTTCCCATGAGCTTCGTGCATCGGGCCGCTCTTTTTAGGAATTTCATGTCTGTATATCCGTGTCCTGTGTCTGCTCTATTCATTGAATGAATATAGACCCTGCATATTACATTGGTGTTAATTCAGTTAGAGTATTAACATTATTGCAATTAGGTGCTATGTGGCCTTCCTCATTGCAAATATAACATTTGTAAGTCTTTTTCTTAATGTTTGGACTTTTTTTCTAGTTTTCTTTTTCCTAATATATGTCTTCTTTTTAGAGAATTTTTTTTTCTTCCATGGTTTCCATTAAAATTTCTTTTTCCTATGTGATTTCCTTTGTTTAGGTGGATTACATCCAATATTCCAATTTTCTTGCAAGATTTTGTCACAACATTTTTTGCCATAAGCAATGTTGCTTGTTTGGTTTTTTACATGTTTTTTTGGCTTTAACAGAGACACAATGATCAGCAACAAGTCCAAGTATAAAGCTAATCCTGAATCCCAAAGTAGTTTGGCGGGATTCAATCAAATTTAGTTTCAAGAGTAGTTGGTTTAATAATAAACTCAACTGTTTTATGTCGATTGATGATCGAAATCTCGAAGATTCAGTAAGAATAAGAATATTTACCCAAAATCTGGAAATGAAATCTAATTGTATGACATGACAATTCATTGGAAAATCCTCCATAAATTAACCAAGTTGCCGCAAACTTCTACAAAAAATCTAAGCAAAGAGATTATAGAAAATTTTGAACCAAGAGCCTTTGATACTACGACAAAACCTCAATTAATTAGTTGGAAGATTTAGAAATTTCAAGATAATGGATGATAAATAATTTAACCAAATAACTATCAATAAGGATAACGGGTCCTCCTGAAATGCAAGTCTCAGGAAAAAATATATATTTTAGAGATAAGCGATCTCAAAGTACAGAGTTGACAAAAATATGTCCAAATTGGGTTCATAAGGACGATTGGGAATTTTTTTACAACTTGCTCTTAATGAACCTTATAAAGAAGAGACTGAAGAAACATCAAACTCTGACCCTATTGCTTACAAATTGGTATAAATTCTTGTACTCCTAGGAACTTCGTACTTGAAAGGTAAAAAAAGAGAGATAAATTCAGCAAGGCTTTATCATTTTCATATGGGTCGTGAAGAAATTATCTTTTCACCAAGTAATGGAAAGAAAAGATATACTTATGTATTAGGAGAATTTAATTACGCAGGTTATAAAACATATAGTCTTAGTGTTTCAATTGATACTGGCGCCATTACGAGTATATGTAGATGGAATGCCTTACCTCTAGAAAAATGGATGAGCATGATATGCCGCCCTATGCTAGCCAAAGGTATCGATGGCAATGAAACATTAATCGGATTTAATGCTAAAAAACTAGCAACTGGTTAAATAAAAAACGATTTGTAATTCCAAAATACTTTGTTTTCCTGCAATGCATGGTGACTTTATCCTTGGAAATAATTTAATTGATAATTATTTACCAATGCATATTTATTCGAAATCTATTGGACTAACCTTAGAAAAAGCTTTAGTTGATATTCCTTTACTTCCCACAACATCAATATAAATATGAGAAAGGTTTGGCGCCTCGCAGTTGTTGCTGATGATTCTATTTGATGTTTTAGTCTTTGTGAAAGCTAATGAGGTGTTCTTTGAATTGTATGAATTGCTTAATTCTATGAGCAGAAGTGTATGATCTTCTTTGAAAATGAACTTTTCCTATCCTTATGAAGTTCTGTTTATTTCTCAAGTATCTGCTACTGATGTATGTTGTCATAATATGCAGGTTGAGAAGATATTTGGACCTGGAAATCAGTATGTCACAGCTGCAAAAATGATCCTTCAAGTATGCATCACCTTTTCTTCTAATTAACTTTACTTGTATAACCACCCTTCTGTATCTATTTATCCGATAAAGGGAAGACCCCACACCCCACTTTGTCTCTCAAGAGCTGGTGTTAATATTAAGCTGAAATTTGTCACCATATGAGATAACATGTGGTTGGTGTCTGACTCCTTGACTGCCATATGAACCCATGGATGTTCAGTTTTCACCATAATTGCTGTACTCTCTTTTATAAGTTGTCCCTACAACCTACCACAATCACCCCTGCATCGCAGAATTCACCATGCTTCATAAAGTAATGACTAGGTTCGGTGTACAACCAACTGTTGGTTTTCTTTTTTCGACTGAGTTGCTAATTAATGTACTTTCTCAACAGAACAGCGAGGCAATGATTTCAATTGACATGCCAGCTGGACCATCAGAAGTGCTTGTCATTGCTGACAAACATGCTAATTCTGTTCATGTAGCAGCAGATTTGCTTTCCCAGGTGTTTACCCTTTTTTGAGATGGATACTTGTCATAGTGGAAGCAGTTCCTATAAATTTACTGCTTTCATGATGCCGAGAATGTACTGAAAGAGATAAAGAGGAGTGTCTTCTTTTTTGTGGTATGCCTGTGATTAAGTTCAAGGTTTAGCACACTCTTGACAAGTTTAGTGACTTCAGTCATATATGAGGGGAGAAAAATCTAAACTCCAACATGCTTTTTGTCTTTTTTGTCATGAGTTGACCAACATGGGGCATACATTAAGGAAACAATTTATCTCAAGTTGCTTTGCTATTTATCTTTCTAGCAATCATACCTTGATTTTCAGGCTGAGCATGGGCCCGATAGCCAAGTAGTTTTAGTAATTGCTGGGGATGGTGTGGATATAAAATCTATTGAGGAGGAAATCAGCAAGCAGTGCCAACGCCTTCCAAGGGGAGAGTTTGCTTCTAAAGCTCTGAGTCACAGCTTCACTGTGTTTGCTCGCGACATGGTTGAGGTCGGCCTTCTTATCCTTGATTGGTCTGCATTGCTCCAATTTCCCTATATGAGAACATTTGCATGCATGCTTGGTACTGCAAAGGATAAAATTCAGTGATGGTTACCAAAGTATGCACTCCGTCTCACTTGGATCCCTATTCTTTTGATTGTGTCATTTGGTTGTTAAATTTTTTTTTGATTCTTAATAGTGCAATTGAAAATGGCATTTCGAAATTGCTAGCGGAAGTGGCCACACGTGTGTATCATGTGGGTGGACAAGTGGCCACTTCCGTTAGCAATTTTAAATTGTCAACGATTAGACCATTTAGAAACAAATTGGGAACCTGAGGAACAAAATGACATCTAAAGAACGAGGACCAAAAAATGCATGTTTTAGGGATCATATTGTTTTTTTACCCCAATACGGCATTTAGGGGGTTGCTAGTTGGGTAATCATGGCGAATACGGCATTGTATTATTGTAAATTCTTTGTTCCAAACATTTCTTAAAAGTAGACGATAAGTTTTAAATCTTAATGCTGGAAGGCATATCTTGTTGAATTGGTCTTTTTCACCTCATCGTGTATAATGGGAATAGAACCCCCCCCAAAAGTAATCCTCTGCCAGACTTAATTCTCAGCCCCATTCACCAATGCATACTTCTGTTGGGTTTCAGTTGCTTCTTCAAAATCTCTCTCTCTTTCTTGGGAAATGGTGATGAAAAGCAGGAACTTTGTGTGGAGTGTTAGCGGTATGAATTCACAATTAGGTTTTGTTCCTACAGTACCTTAGTGGTGTTCCTATGGTGAGCAATCATCCAGGATAATTACAAAAATAAACCTAGAAAAGTCCTACAGAAGAGGAGAAAAAGAAAGAAGTTAAAAAATCACACGAGAGGCATTTTGGCCATTTCAGATCAAGGCCGCACACTTCAAATAATGGGTTCATATTAAGTACAACTATGAGCAGCTGTAATAAACCATTCGAAACCTTGGTTGAACTCTCACAGTACTGATGCAGAAACACATTTTCTGCAGTGAATTGGTTGACAGCATACAGTCCAATAGGCTAGGTTCTAGTCAATTGGTTCACAGCCAGTTGACTAGCGTCTTTCTCAGATGTCCCATTACATTTTAAACACGGTTTTGCAAATTAAATCATCTCAAATCATATTTGCAGTGTTCAAAGCCGTGTGTGTAATTTCCAGAAAAAAAGCGTGTGTGCACCTGTCATAATCCATTATGAGATTAGATACTAGTATGATCAACAATTTAGCTCAATTTTTTGTTCACATTTAAAAACAATAGATGGCCTTTCCTAATTCAAGTTTCATGTCAAGAAATTCATACTCAATACTTCAAAGCTTAATAAAGAAAGAGGTCATAGGATAGTAAACCTTAAGATCGAGACAACACAACAATACATAGTGGTTCAGCCACCTCCAGCTACTCTTCTATCGCTTATGGTTGGATTCACTTCAGTAAAATGGAATTTTTAAAGTATACCCCAACAACCTTGTGGATTATAACTTAAGGCACACACTTATGATTTGATTTCGTTGACTAACTGACAAGCTATGCACTATCTCAATCCAAACACAATACAATGCTCTCCAAATCAATGACTAATAAGTTCCCTCAGAGAGATGCATTCTATAATTTGCGCTAGACTAAATGTATTATTCCACGCTCTGTGTCTCAAGTACCCTTAATGGAAAAAAATATACCTATCCAAGTGAGTGCAACAACCCAAAGAATATAACCCAAAAAGCATATGGCTATGATCTCATGGATGGAAGCGTGAGATGAGCTAAAATGCTCCCAAGTCCCTCAATATGTTAGCTTGTGATTATGTGTGAGTTGAAATCCTTTTTCCATCAAAATTCATCTAAAAAGATAAAATGGACATACATAAGTGAAGGTGCAACAGCTAGTTAATGCCTATCCATTGTAAACTGCTGGCATCATCTCTTTTCAATTTTGCGAGAACCCATAGTGGCATGCAGATGGAAGAAATCTAGAGGTTGCCATTGAACAAAGAATATGAGATCTAGAAATATAGTGACAATTGTTCTGGTGGAGACTTTCCACTGCAACACTAAATAGTGTAGATGCTTATACTCTATGTTTCCTGTATTCATTTTTCTTTCTTAATGATCTTGTTCCTTATATATAGTACAGGAACACTCGTAGCATTTCCTCCTAAAATAAACTTGTCATTGGGACTTCCAGGCAATCGCTTTTTCAAATTTATATGCACCTGAGCATCTGATAATCAATGTGAAAGATGCTGAGAAGTGGGAGAGTTTCATCGAGAATGCAGGTATACTGAATCCTGTGCTTTTATTATCTTATCACTTCCGGCCAGTTTTTCTTGAGCATTGTTGACATTTGCATTCAACTCCGAGTAGTTATTGCTTTAATCTACTAGGTGAGTAAGAAATTTTGAGGAAAAGAAATTTCAATGTATTTTTTGTCCGTCAAAAGTTTTGTGACTGCTTTGAGCCAATTTGGTCTAGTTTCGTACCTGTTTCAGTGTGTTTGAAATCATTTGAATTAAACAGGACTCAAAAGGTATATGAACGCTAGCCAATTGAATTAAGAATTTGGTTAAATTTTTCTTATTCTATAATTTAATACTAGTTTATTGGTATCAACTTTTATCTCACTGCTTGATATTGCATGTTAAAATAATTTGTAATTGTGTAAATTTTTTATGTAAAATCTTAAGCAAGCAATATTGTTTTGGGATGCAATTACTTATAGTAATCTTGCATTTTGGCACGGAATTGGACCCATTTGTTACAATACCATGTGTAATTAAGTCCTTAGTAAGACGGATTGATTTGTTTCAAATCGTGTTACAATTGCAAGAGACGGGCACAACTAATGTGAGTAAAAGTGGTGATAACACCCATGTAGTTGTCGTAGGGCTTTCGATAGAGCAGAATGCACCTGAACATTTGTAGTTTAACTGTAGAACTCGGATCTTGAGGTTTTGCTAGTTTTGAGGTTGAAATAAAATTTTGATAATGCACTCGAATGCATGGCTAACATTTTTCTGCATTCAATATAAATAAATTGTGACATGGCAGCTAGTAATCCTTTCCGACTATTTACATTCAATTCTTTCATTAGCATAACCATCATCAATGTTATCTATTCCCTCTCTGCGATAAATGAATGCTACAACAGTTTGGTTGACATGCATGGCAGGCTCAGTGTTTTTAGGGCAGTGGACTCCCGAAAGTGTGGGAGATTATGCGAGTGGGACGAACCATGTCCTTCCAACCTATGGTTATGCCCGGATGTATGGAGGAGTGTCTTTGGACTCGTTCCTGAAGTATATAACTGTGCAGTCCTTGACAGAGGAAGGACTGAGGAACCTCGGCCCTTATGTGGTGACCATGGCTGAAGTCGAGGGGTTGGAAGCCCATAAGAGAGCGGTAACCCTTAGGCTCCAGGACATTGAAGCCAGAGCGAAGGTTTCTCAGATGAGGTGATGATATTCATCAGCCTGCCCCCTTGTATTTCAATGTATTTTTTAAGGAAGCCCTTTTGACTGACTGACCCAGATAGCAAAAAAAATTGTGTAGGACTATGCAAATAGATTTTGTTCAACTGAAATGTAGAATTTCGTTTTTGAAGGTTTTGCTGGTTGTGAGATATACATAAAATTTTAATTTTGTTTTTGAAAATGGCTAGATATTTTTTCTCTTTCATTATTGAAAAAATCTGTGACAATCTCTCTTGTCTCGGTTTATACGATTGGACGGAAATTTTGTAACAGGTTAACGATGCATGCTTATGGCTCTCTGGTTCATATTTGTGTACATAATGACATATGTAGGAAGATAACACCATAAAAAATGTAATTAAAAGGTTACGGGAAGAAAAAAAAATGATGCTTGATTGCAAAGCCTAAACCAGAAGGGTGGCAATGTAATTTTGAAAAAATACTGGAAAACTATTGGCAAAAACCGATTATGAGTGTAATTTTCCCTTTTATCTTTTACAGAGACAAATTTTCACTAGGGTTTTTTCTGTGCACTGGAAAAAAAAAAAAAGAAAAAGAGTCCATTCTTCTCCATTGAAAAGAAATACAAGTGATTTCTTGTTTCTTTTGGCTCTTTCTCTTACCTTGGATAAATTGAAGAATTATTGGCCATTCCTAAATGATTCCTTTTCCGGCTCATTGAATGAAGGGAGAAAAGACAGAGACATATCAGTAAGCCACACTAGGGATCAAAAGCAACCATGAGATTTGGGGAAAAGTTTATTGGGTTAATTTAAAAAATGTCCTTTTTGATTTTGGATAATTTGTAACTCACCCTTTCAGGTTTTAGTTTCAATTGATAGTCCTTTTTAAGTTTAAATATTTTGCAATTAACTCTAATAATTATTTTGAGACAATAAAAATTGACAAAAATTAAACATGTCAAATTCACGTGATCTCCTCTTATTCTTACACTCTTCCATTCTCCCCATCTTAGATGGTTAACTCTTTTTTTTTTCCCCTTTTCGGTAGAAAGCCTCCCTTCCTTATGATGAGCCGAATGCAAAGCATTTCATAATTTTTAGTCTTGAATTTTTTGTTTTCCTTATTTTTTAAGGACTACATTAGTATTTCAAAAAAAAAAATGAGAAATAGTGTATAAAACAAAAGGTGTAATGGTTTTTTCGAGTGTTCAATCTCTGTTGTTAATCAATTTAATCCACTTAAAACTTCGAGCAGAAAAATTACAGCATTTAAAGTTACAGGGAGTTCATTGCCATAAAGGACATAGTTAGAGGGAATAGACTGTAATTAACCCTTCATTAAAAATCCAAATGCATGCATGCAGCTTCTGATGGCCAACAAAGCTTGAAGCTCAACTTCAAAAAGGTAGTATTTGTAAACACGACATATTAACACGATACGAGATGATTTACGGTTGGAACTATGGCAAATATAACATTTCAACTTTAAATATGATGTACTTATATACTCAAACTCAACAGAACACTATTGAAAACATTTACAAACTGGCCAACAGAGCTTGAAGCTTAATTTGAAAAGGGTAGTATTTGTAGACACCACACATTAACACGGTACCAGATGATTTGCTGTTGGAGCTATGGCAAATCTAGCATTTCAACTTTATATCTAGAGATGCGCCTTGCTAACCAAGAAAAGCTGAGCAAGATCAGCGAAGCAATCTCACCTTACAGTTACAAGTACTTGCAAAACAACTATTTTACAAGGCAGCAGATGTCAAAAATTTAGCTCAACCATTTCATCATGTAATTTTGACTTCACACATGTATCAACTTACAAGGCAATCAATAACCCCCTCTGAACCAGAAACACAATAAAAGAAATACAAAATGAAAGGTAAAAGAAATCCCCCAAAACTATAAACCAAATGTAACTAAAAAAGGCAACACCAAACTTTACAAGCAAGCTGACAACAATCTACACCAAATACAAAACTCACAAAGCAAAACAAACCCAAAAAGAATATTTAGAAAGGGGGGCGAGCGTGCGGGAAAAAAACTGTCGCACTAATATATTGTCGAGGCCAACACCATCTTATTTTTTGGGAGAAAACAACCCGACATTACTGTACAGTTGATCAATTGTCTTCATTATCTGGTAATAACCAAGAGTATGGTTAACTTTGTGCTTTCCAAAGAGTGGATTCATCTTTTTCCATAAGCATCTGAAAACATTTAAAGTGAAGAGTTTATAATCCATACTTCTGTCTAGTTAATAGGACAATTAAATCTGAAAAAAAAAAAAAAGCATGCCATAATAGAGAAAACTACAAAAATCACCAGCTGTTATCAGAGAAGAATACGATTCTGAAAAATTCTAATTGCAGAATAGAATACATGAACATCACGCAACCCTATTGTTCGACAGGGTCAAATATGGAGACACTAAACTAGGGACCATTCTGGTAAGTCACGACATACCCCAGGATAAAAATAAACTTGTGGAAGAATCTCCATTCATAAACTATTATGATGTTTAAAGATGGTTTAATCTCATACATACTTTAAACACATTTACATATAGCTTTCTCTTTAAAGATAACTTTAAAACCCTTTTAAGGATGGCCCCTCGAGGGGACAAGTTGTTGGAAGATTTGTAAACAAGGATGAAATGGTGTGCTTCGTACTTAACAATAACATTGCTAAGTTAGGCCTCTGACTTCTGATTGAATTAAGAGAACGTATCGTCAAAAAGATGATTTGGATCTGCAATTCTATAAAAACTGATGTCATAATTCTAAGACAGGCCTGGGGTTGAGTAGGTCTTGATCACAAGTTTGAAATTTAGTGCAAGATAAATAACCAATTCAACTTGGAAAACAAACCAAATCGTTCAATTAAAAAACATATGTGGATATAGCAATGTAGGCAAAAATTGCAAAAACCAATAATTAGATTGTTCAACCACCTAAAATTCATGTATCAAGAATACATCACCACATTATGTTGGACTCCATTTAACAAGTAATCACACAAGGAATAAGACACAATTTTTACGTGGAAACTGTAAGGGGTAAACCACAAGACCTACTCCAGCCTAAACTCTACTACACGACCTAATTTTAGGTGGGTAATGGTATCACCCATAAAGGTCTAGAGATGCATAATTGCTAAATCTCACCTAAAAATTTTGTAGTTGTCTTCTCTCACTCGAAGGAAGGCTCCGGTTTGTAAAGAGATGTTTTTCAAGTCTCCTATAGAGCTCTAAAGCCTTAACTCCACATGATATAACGTGCCTTTTTATATTGAAAAGATGGAATACGAAACAAATTTGCAAGATTTCAGGTTTTCTGCTTCAATACCTAGCCAAAGGCTACCCATCTAGACTTCAATATCTTGAGCAAAACAAATGACCGCTAGAGCTCAGGTCGAGTACTAGTTGAGCGCCTGGTGAGTGTTATACCTAGGAATTCAAATTTTCTCCATGTTCTTCACGTTGTTTGAGCACCAAGGATCTTGCCCAATCAGAGATCTTACTTAGGTCTATAATTTCGAAAACAACTTTTCCTAGAATAAAACCTAGGCCACATACGAACATTATAGGTTAACTTTGTTCAAGTTTCAGCCTAATTACCCACTAAGGTTCACCAATTCTCTAGGTCAATTTATCATACCTAAAAGGTTAGATTCCAATGATGAAGCTCAACGTTAATGGGAAGAAGATTATGGTGTCCCCCAACCCAAACAACGAGTATTGGATTATGAGAGAACCGGAAAGTCTTGTGAGTTTAGTCACTGGCAATGGAGATTGCGCGAGATAATGTCACTACTCTGGAGTCTGTGGTAGAAATGTGATCAAGAAGACTAGTCTCAAAAGGATTTTTTTTCTTACATCGCTCAAGGTCCTTGGTCTAATAGTTACGAATATATAGTACCTTGAGCAGGTATGTTTTCCATAGTGAAATATATGGTTCTTTACATTCTCTATTACGTAGCTATAGGTTGTCAACTCAATTTTGACAATTTATAAGGGATTGTAGCACACTAGCAGCATTTAGAACACATACTAGCATTATCGCCCTATCCATTCCTATGGCCTCTTGATCCTAAGGTTATTACTAGTAAGATTATCAAAACATGTATTGGATCGTTTTTCGAAAATAATGTATCCAGAATCATAATGTATTGTTTATCATAATATATGATCAATTCAAATTTATATGCATATACACATACATACCTAAAAATACGTAAATATATAGTGTCCACTGCAAGATAAAAAATGTTTCAACTCACTTATGATTTTGTGCGATGTGTGTTTCTGATAGAGCCCGAAATATAGCCAGGTTTTGTTATTTAAAAGAGATGAAGAAGAAGATGCATGTGAAATAAATGAGGTTCACAGGAGAAGAAGATGATCAAGAGCTTTGTTTGTTTAAGATCAAACCAAAAAGCATATAAACAATAGCATATGGACAACATAATTTCATTGTTTAGGGTAAAAAGGTCGTTTGAAACAACGTTCATTGAAAAAATTTGTCTTATGTAAACATATTTTCATTGTATCGAAATGTATCCTAAGATACATATTGTCTATCGTAAGATACAGTCAAAAAAAATAATACAATTCGTACACACATAATGTTCAAGTACTGTATCGAGACGTGCCATAAGAAATGTATCGCGTATTTTATGATATTAACAATTTGGATACCATATTGAGACATCAAAAGTTATGTATCACACATCATAAGATACTGACAATCATGATTACTAGAGCTTGAGGTGGCACTACCTTGTATCAGGGGCGATTCATTTGAATAAGGGCCCTTAACAACATGCATTTTGAGGACAGAAACTTATGTAACTATCAGACTGAGGACCCTGAATGATGTAAGAAAGATAAGGAAATTTTGGACCTTCCTTCATTATTATAAATTCTACATTGGAGTCTCTGGATGTGTCTTACTCTGGGAAGAGTGTTGGACTCCTAATTCTTTGGGAATATAGTGTTGAAATTATTTTTATTCATGACCATTTTCCTATTTTTGAACCCTCTCTTAGTTTAGAAGGCTAAAGCGACAGTAAAGATGAAGGTTTTTGTATGGAGTATTACTCATGGGAAGGTTAATACAGGTAACATATTTGAAAGAGTAAGGCCTAGCATGTCTTTTTCCAAATTCTTTTGTTATGTGTAGAAAAAGTGGGGAAAGCACAAACCATCATTTCCTCCACTGCATTGAGATTATGGCACATCTTATTCCAGGAAATGGGGATGGTTTGTGTGATTCCTCATAGCTATGTCTCTTTATTTGTGGAGGATTATAAAGATCGGTGAATGAACTAAAGATCTTCAACTCTTTGAAGATGTGCAATTTGTCTGGTTGGAAAGGAAAATTTGAATCTAAGGAGTGTCTTTGAGATAGAATCTATGCTTTCTTCATGAGCTCCAGTTAAGAAAAAATTCTGCAACATTCCTTCATTTCTTATCAATCAGCTCCAGTTTGTTTGCCGTTTTGAGGTTTCTGGTTTCATTGATTTGTAATTTGGTGGATATCTTGTCCACCACTTATATAATTGTTCTTCATCAACAAATTTTGCTGCATATAAAAAATTAACAGCCTTAACTTCATGAATTTCCAACGACAAACTTCATTTTTTCTTTGTTTTGGGTAGGGGGGGTTGGGGTTTCTTTTAAATGCTTACGGGCTAAATAACGTGAAATAATTACAAATGGACGCAAGCCATGTCTAATACTTGGATTTCTCCAAATATTTGCAAAACTGCCACAACAAAAACTACACTTTAGACCAGTGGCATATTCTCCATCGACCACTTCCTAAACAAAATAATTTTTCCTCCGAACAACTAAGTATACCAACGTGTAAGTTAAATAAAAAGTGCATTAAATATGCAAAAGGAAACATCATTGAACAGATAAAAACTTTCAAATGTTCCAATTTTATGATGAGACCCCTGTTTATGAATTAAATGATTAAAAAAAACAAAAGAAAGTTAAGTCGCAAGTCAGGTTATAAATCAAGTTTCTTTTAGAGCACACACAATCACATATCCATAATAAATCCAAGAAAAAATAAATAAAGTGGCAGATATTTTATTTTCAATATTATTTGCTATTTCTAAGAACCACATGTTGAAAAATCTTAATCTCCTTAAAGAAGTGATCACTCTAGATTGGAATGAACTTTACCATCAAAGGGTAAGTCAGATTGGAAGGCTTTAACTACACTGAGGTCCTAAACTTCAACTACTGCAAGAGAGTTTGGATTAGCCGACGTGCATGGTTTTTCTATATTATTTGCTATTTCTAGGAACCACGTGTTGAAAAATCATAATCTCCTTAAAGAAGTGCTCACTCTAGATTGGAATGAACTTCACCATCAACGGGCAAGTCAGATTGAAAGGCTTTAGGGGTTACTACATTGAGGTCCTAACCTCAAATCCTACAAGAGATATTGGATTAGCCAGTGTGCATGGTTTGTGGCAAAATGTATCAAGAGGCTCCAATCAACAAAGACCAACAAATTGACTCAAAAACAAATTTCACTAAGAGCTCCATTGTTCAGACCTAACCATTTATTAAGAAGCGATGGAAGGGGGGGGGGGAGCAGAACAAACCAGGGACCAATTCATTCACTCTGATGGATCGTGGGCTAAGCCTAAAACTGAAATCAGATAAATATTCACCCTTGAAAGCTTGGTTCCCCCCCCCCCCCCAAACAACAACAAAAAAAAATTGGGGCAATCTGAAACGATAAAAGAGAAAACAAAGTAAACAGATGTTATTACGCGAAAGTTTGTACAATTTTTCTGAAAAATAAAAGATATGTCCAGTTCAATTGCACCACACATCTGGAGTTTGTGTTGTAACCATGAGTCAAAAGAGCTCATGATTCAGATGGGTCTCCCTAATAAAAAAAATTGCCACCCATTTTATAATTCTATATCTTCCCCCCCCCCCTACCCCCCTCTCCTTCTCCTCCCTCCTTGGGGTTACTGTGAACAGGTTTGGCCCAGTGGTGTAAGCTCTCGTTATGGTTTTTTACAATCTATTTGCAAAGGTATGATACAATACATATGAAAATAATTTGCACAATATCTCTCTTTTAAGTAAAAGGCGCCACTAACACAATTATTTCTGGAAGGCCATTCATACGAAATTACAGCCATAAGCCATTACTCATTTAAAGAAGCCGAGTAGAAAATCAATGAGTTGACTAAATATTACAGGGAAAAAATTCTCAAAAGAAACTAACACATATGTTAAAGTGAATAGCTTGATGAATTAAAAGGTTTACCTTGAGATGTTATGACATAAAGCTTCAAGCAAACCGGTGATCTTTTCTTCTAATCCCATCCATACGTAATTCTCGCAGGTGACAAGCTATCTCCTGAATAAATTTAAGTCCCTCCTCCCCGTTTCTGAGTGAGCTAATAGAGTGCTCAAGAAAACTACAGTCCACCTCAAGTGTTTCCAATCTTTCAACCAGGTCAGAAAACTCAAATGCTGTATCGGCACATGCTCCAGATAAGTTTTGCCCATCACAAATGATTTCACTACTTTCCTGACCCATACATTTGGGGTCCTCACATGAGGAGAGACCTCCTCCTTGAGCATGAGGGATTGGTCCATTTGTGGTAGTATCTTTCTTCAAATCGTTCTCTTCTGTTGCACCATTTTCTTGTGAATTTTGTCCACAGTAATGCTCATCTTCACCACTATACATGTCCAAGTGAACTCCATTTTTTGAAAATAGATCAAGCTTTTTCTCCAATTTCTTCAAACATTGCAAAATATATGATCTTTCATCTTCAACCCCAAAAAATGAGTTCTTCGTTGCATTTATGTTCTCATCCCCAAACAACTTGGTGGCTCCAACAATATTTTTGGCACAATGTGCATTTGCATTCCCTGCCCTCATTTCTTCTGACTTCAAATCACAAGTTGGCTCCACCATATTTTCCAAATTTGATACACCCCCAAACTTCTTGTGAAGATCAATCGCAGCTTCAAGGTCTTGTATCACTTTCTCCTTCTCTGCAAGAAGGTCATTTGCTTTCTGAAGTGCTTCACCGTCATACTCAGCTTGCTCGTCCATCATTCTTAGGTATTGCAAGGCTTCCATATGGAGTTCTGCCTTCTCCTCTTGTAATCTAGTTATCATGGCCATTGCTTGATTTGCAGCAACTGCAGAAGCATTTCTCTCTTCTTCTAATTCCTTATACAAAGTACCCATTAATTTTCTGTCATGCTCGACCTGTCGTTTTAAGCGATCGACTACACTTTCGCCTTCAATTTCACTAACAGTGCTTCCATCCAAAGACAAACCAGACTCATTTCTCTCAAGTGATATTCTCCTTTGTAGTATCTGCATACCAATAGAGCTAGAAGTATCAGAACTTTTCCATTCCTCACCATTTCCGGACACTCTAGGGCTTATATCATTGAGTGTTAAGTCGATCCCTCGAGCAGCAGATATTTGTGACAACAGGAGCTTCAAATCTTCACTAAGTCTTGCAGAATCCTTGAGAGACCTTTGTTCCAAAAGCTTTCCAGACAACTGTCTTCCCCTATTGCCAACAGCTAGCTTATAAGCATCACCAAGATCCATAAAATTGGACATCTGGGTACCACTATCACTTGTTGCAGGGTTTAATTCTGAGCATATGTCAATTGTCATCAACTCACTTCCTGCCTTAGAAATTTCTCCTCTCCCACTAGCAAGCTTCTTCCCCACTTGACCTGTTCTAGCAGCATCTACTGCAATAAACCAGCAAAGAAGATAGAAAAAACAAACAAGTCAAACATAACTAATGTTGAGACTGATGTTTTGATTCAAAAGACATTGCATCTTTTAGGATATATTAAAAGGAGGAAAAGGCAATAAACGTGAATTCAGATTGATTGGAAATGCTATGAACTAGTCACATCATGGGCTAATATTGGGACCACCATACTTTCATGGTCATTGAAAGTCCAAATGGCTCCAAGGGCAAATAGAAATAAGAGAAAAGTTGCTATCCAAAAGCCCTAAAACTTACACGTCTCCGCTGATGCTTCAACAAATGTGCCGGTACCACTGTTTAACGGAGCAGCCTCAGAAAATGATATGAGCTGAGATGCTACACAAACATTGGCCTTATCTTCACTTGATTGCCAATTAAGTTCCTCCAATCCATGCCCAACAGCTGAGGCAGAGGCTACACCCCCATGAGTATTGGTAACTTTCAGCTGCACCTCAGACTCTAAAAGTGAAGGCTCAGGAACAGAATCCAGGTGTATCAATTTCTCTGAAGTCAAACCATCAGTTAGAGTATTAATCTGAGCTTCCATCTGCACGCAGTGAACAGTGCCATCTTCCTGGGGTTCCTCTGATTCACGAATTAATGCACTAGCACTGTCATCATCGGAGAATGGAGCTTCTGATTCAGTGTCAGAGGTAACCTTGACTTTCGTGTATTCTATATGAGGCAAAGGATCAATGGAGTTCTTTTTTACTGGGGAAGCTCGAAGTGACACAGATGATTCATCCTTGGTCTTTTTCAGATCATCCCTATTATGTGCAACAGTTACAGATAAGGCTGCATCAAGTTCAGCAGTCTCAAAACCATTTGATTTAGCCTGAAGCAACTTTGGGGCATAACCTCTAGAAGTCCATTGCTCATTGCAACAAGAACAAGTTCTTATATCTGAAGAACCAAGAATATGATCTCCGAGTAATGGGTCCTGATCAAGCCCTACGTCATCCCCCAACTTGGCCACCAATAATCTGTATGTTTCAGCATTAGACTTATTTATTGCAGCAAACGAGAAGAGGCAACTTTCACATATTCCATGAACATCAACCAGTTTACAGTGAGCTCGACAAAGAACTAAAGATGAGATTTCGAACTTATGATTGCCGCAGATCAAATCCCAATAAAATCCCACTTCTTCATTTCCCAAAACATGATCAAGTCTGGAGCATAACAAACATGGAATTTGCAATTCGCAATAGCGGGCAAATTTCGTAATCAAGTAGGAGAAACTTGCATTAATAAACAGCATAGACAACAACAACCATTCAAGAACAGCTGACGTCAGAGCTGTGATAATACCTGGGGAAACCTTCTGCGATTTAACAGATGGAATCCCCCTCAAATCCATCCTCCAGCAGAATTAAGCAACTACTCCACAACAATAAATTGATTGCCCAAGACAGAGTAAAGTCCAATGGCTCCAAAATGAAATTGATGATCCAATGCACAATCCAACACTGTAGGCATAAGGAAATAGAAAAAAAGATGGTTATCTAGAGAAAGCAAAATTCTCAGATGAAAGCTTGTAATTCAAAAAGAACTAAATATTTCTCCCCGAGAGTAATAACAATCGAACGCCTGGCATATCCCAAAAAATAAAAGAAACAAAACTCTTAAATGCCTTCAGCAGAAGCTAACCGAATGCATGACCACAAACGTCTACTTTGAGTAGGGAATACCATAAAGCATAAGATGATACTTAACATTCCTCACATATAGACACTGCATACATGTACTTGCAAACACAGGCACAAACTCGAGGTACTACAATTACATCTGGGAACAATACCCAACAGCCTCAGATACACCATAAACCACAAGGTAATTAAAAAATTTATCAATTGGAGAGAAGTACTCCTATCAAATATCCTCATCAATATATATTCCTCACATACACCCTTAATTTCAAGCTAACAAAATAAATTCAAATGAAAACCCATTTTCTTCATACCCGATTCAAACTGAGGCAAACATCATATTACAAATGCTCACAAAACTAAAAGCTAATACAAAATCAAACACAAAAATCATTGCTCTTAGACTATTAAAACCTCAACGCACCAAAGAGATATCATAAATCAAAAGCATAAACCCACCACAAAAAGCCAAAAAAAAAAAAAAACAATGCAATAAAACAAAATAAAATATCAAACAGGATCAATACTTGTCTTATGAAAATAAAACAGTTTCTAAAAGATCGTAAATACCAACCAAAACCCCTCTTATATCAAGTATACAAGGTGACAACACACACAAAATTTTCAACGAACCCAATTCAAAGATCACGGTAAAATTCTCTGGAAACAAAAATAAGTCAAAATTACAATACCTGATCATCTAAGGAACACCCATCAAATAAAACAGTGGGATGGTAGTTGTGAAGAAGTAGATCGTCAAATCAAAAGTGACCCAATAGCTTAGCTACCTACATATGGCGAACATAAATATGAGTTATGCCAAGAAATTCAGTTTCTTCTGAGATTCAAACGAAGAAGGGGAAGACAAAAAAAAAAAATCAACAGCATGACCGAAAGTGTATGAAGTTTTTCTAACGTATGTGCACGTTGTTTTCAGAGTTGGGTTCGTCCCAATTACACAGCATAAAGATAAAACAGGTGGACAAAACAAAACAAAACAAAAAAAAGAATTATATTAACATCCCCCAGACATTTAAATCCTGCTAACAACCACTAATTTCAAAAAAGCTACACAAGCCATCCTATATAGTGGCAGAATAAGGTAAACTGATGGGTAAAAATCATAATTAGTCCTTCAACTTTGTCTTCGATTTTAATTTGATCATTGAATTTTTAATTATCTTAATTTAATCCCTCAACTATCAATTTTATCTCAATTAAGTTATTTCGTCTATTTCAATTAATAGTTATGACCAAATTAAAAACGAAGTAGGGACCAATTATGATTCGAACCCTAAATTGATTTAACTTTCATAAAATGATGATGTCATCATCCCGATTGTTTTAAAGCTAGATTTACGAATTTAGATATTTTTTATTGTACTTATATTTAATTTCACTCAATAATAAATTATCTAACTTGCATGGGTGGGACCCACTTAGAAATAATGCATCTCATTTGAATTCACAATATAAAGAGTGTAATGAAGATGATCTCAGTCCCAAATTTACCACTATTCATGTGCATGCAATGTTGAAATTTTGTTAAATCACTTTTAGTAAACAAATTGGACAAATCAAATTGCTTCAACAGACAAAGGTTTTGAAAGGATGGTTGCGTGTGTGATTAAGTGACTTGTGCAGCTAGGGTGCAATTGTTACAGGGCCTTAAAAATAGGCTGCAATGTTGTAAGCAAACCTTTTAGTTGGACATTCTTTTGGAGAAGTAAAAGTTTCCATACTATCTTAGACCTTGTTTTTTTTGTTTGGATAAAAAAATCTCTTGAATCATGTTGATTGAGACTAAGCGTGAAACTTGATGCTATCACAACGGTCAAAATTTTTGAGCAAACTTGACTCTTTTAATACTCTGTATTATGTTTCTGTAGGATAAATACCATCTATACTACATTGATGACCAAATTTGACAATTCTAGATAAAACTTATATGCCCAACACAAAATAGATGTAGAATTAGCATATATAAACTCAGTCATTAATACATCAACAAGAACTCGTATAAATACAATAGAGTAATGTTATGTAATCCAAATCTGTAATTCAAATTTGTATTCCAAATAAAAGGGACCATTGGATTAATGAGTCTTATTTAAAAAAGTTAATGGTCCCCACTGATCTAATGGTTCCCTTTCATTTGAAATGAAAATTTGAGTTACATAATATTTTTTAATACAATATAAACTCTTTCAACATAGAATTTAATATTACATGAATCCATCAATACACAGTTATAAAAAGTTCAAATATAAATTGAACAAATTTTAATGTAATATAACTTAAACACGATAAAAATTCAAAACAACACGACCAACTGACAAGCCTAGCTAGGGCATAGAAGGTGATGGATTTTTCTCATTAAAAAAAAAAATAACTAGAGGGCAGAGTTTTGAACTATCGTTACTACCAAAAACTATAGGGTTGGTCCGAGTAATTTCAAAACTAATAAGGGAAGTTCATAGCATATAGCAACTCATTCTACTTTATCCAGATAAAAACGTCGGCTGAAAACTAGAAAAAAGTGGCAACTACCGAAAGTTCCCACCACCGCCACCCAACCAAAAGTATATACTTTGCAACGAAGGAAATCGAACATTTCCGGATTTTTTTTTTTCACTAAAACTATTGGGACGTAATTTAGGGATATAATAAATTATCACTAATAAAATAATAATAAAATATATTTAATTATGAGTCTCATTATAGCATTAAATAAATTTATTATCATATCATTAATAATAACTCATTATGTTTCCAAATTATGTCCATAAATTATGTCTCAATAGTATTGCTCTACTTTTTTTTAAATTTTTTTTTTTTCGAATATTTCAAAAATAATTTTTCGTAAATTTTCTACTTCATTGAGATGTCTCCAAATAAGTTTTTTTTTAATATCCGTGTTTAATATTATTTTTAGGGCCCCAATAATATTTTTTAAAAGCAAGTTGAATTAAATCCTAATTTAGTTTTGACACCCTCTAAACCTTTATAAGTTCATTTTTAATAGGGGTGTTTAAATTTTCGATTGAGTGCAATTTTTTTTCCTATCATACCCTACCTTACTGAACGGTTAGCCGCAAAAATCGAGTAGGAATACAGAAGAGTTTTTGATCTTCCGATTAAATCAGGTTGTAATACGGAAATACTTATCAATTTCTGCATTCCTACCCGACCCTATCCGCAAAAAATATATTTAACTTTTTTATATATTTTTAGTAATTATAAAAACATTTGTGTGGTATAATTTATATTATAACATTATAATTGTTGTGGATGTTTCAGTTGCTAACATATAGATTTATTTTTTGTGTAGGTTACATGAATTGTGGTGAATTGGTGATCTATTGGAACAATTATGATTTTAATGTGTTTCATATAATTTAAATTTAAAATAATTGATATTGTATTTGTGTAACAATTATGATGGATTGATGTCCATACTTTCTTGTGTTTTATGGTAATTGTTGTTGTAGTTGTTTTAGGTTTTAATGTTATTGATTTATTGTGTTGTTAAATTAGTGTATGTTATTTAATTGAATTGTTAAAATGATCCAAAAATTAATAAGTACAAAAGTGTTTATCCGACTTCCCATCTGACTTCCTACCCAATTAATCGGATAGGAAGTCGGGTATGAATACCATACCTGATCGGGTAAGGTAGATCAAGAAAAAAAAATTTCACAAAGTATCGGGTAGGAAGATGAAAAACTATATTTTCTACCAGTAAGGTAAGATGAACACCCCTACTTTTCAATCAAGCGTAATTTTTTTAAGACTACCTTAGAAAATATGTGAAACTCATGTTTAATTAAGCTTGATTTTTATTTTTAAGACACTTAAATTAGATGGTGTTTGATAAAATTGAAAGCTGAATTTTAAATATTGAATGTTGAATTTTTTTAATTTACTATTTGGTATTCCCCGAAATTTGAGTAATGAATTGAATTAAACTGTTTAATAAATATTTTTTTCAGTTAAACTGTTTGACAAATATAAAAAATTAAAATATGAAAATTATTATTATATATATAATTTTGTATTTCTATTTAACCATTTCATCACAACTACCTTATTCTTATCTACTACCATCAAAATGGTTGTGACGGCACAATGATAGTGGCGGTGATGATGAGTATTGAAAAGTTAAAAGTGTAAAATAAGTAGAATGTATATTTATCAACTATAAAGAATTTATAAAATCTTTACTAATTAACATTTTCAGCATTAAGTAATAAGTAAATATGATTTGTTAATTATAATTTTTATATATTTTTAAGAAGTGTTTAAAATATTAAATAGTATAAATTTTACGTTATTAAACAGGTTTAATCCCGTGCTATTTTTTTTCAGATATTATATTTAAGTGGGGCCTCATTTAGAATTTTTGCCTCAAGCTCCATCAGCGTTCCGCCCCCGCCATCTCTCTGCCATGGCACGGGATGAGTGACCTCCGGAAGCCATTTTTCATTCGGGTTCGCATTGTATCAGCGTGAATTCATGTTAAATACTAGTCAATTTAAATTTATCTTATTTAATTAATCATATCGTATCAATTAATCTCTTTATTTTATGTCAGATTCGTGTTCATGTTCATATTCGTATTGATTTGTATAAACTTCGAATAAAGAATTTGACGTTAAAATTTAAGTCTAATCAATTAATTGAATATATGCTTAATTTTTTTTTTTATAAATTTAAAATTAACTTAATAAACATAATAACAATAATAATAATGAGTAAAAATATCTTTTTTTACAATAATTATATCAATGCTTAATAAATAATAACAAATAATTAACATTTTATTTCTATATAATTAGTTAAACGTGTTAATTGTGTCAATTTCATGTTGTTCGTGTTTGACACTAACCCAACTCATGTATTATTCGTATTAACAGGTCGTGTTATTTACAGGTTAGTGTCGAGAAATGATCAACCCTAACCCCCTAATTTTTTGTCTAATTCGAGTCGTGTTGTCGTATTATGTCAGAAATTACCACCCATAGAATAGATCATACTTGGCTTAATTTTGATTTGTTTAGCCATTTAAATTATAGGGTTAGTAAGATTTTTAGTCCTTAAAGTATGTATTTTTTATCATTGATAAAAATTTAGTTTTCATTGTATCAATTTTTTTTTTAAATGTAGTCCCTAAAGTATTCAGTTTGTGTCATTTTTGTCCATACATAAATAAACCATTAGATTTTTGATGGACACGTGAAACCATCTAAAAAAATGACACGTGGTCACTTTTGTAAAAAACTTGACAGTATCTGATTTGGGACTAAAGTACACAGCATGAATACTTTAGAGATCAAATTAATAAAATTGACACAATGAAAATTGAATTGACCAAAAATACACACTTTAGAAACAAAAAATGTTACTAATCCTAAATTATAATATCAAACGAATGTCATTAAATTTTTATGATCATTATGTAAATGAGCATACGAGTAAGTGTAGCTTAGTTAGCTTGGTCTCAAATAGTTTTTTTTTTTTTTTATAATTGTATAGTCAAATAATACCTATTTAAAAGGTGAGCAATCTCAAATTTGGACCCAAATAACTATTGGTCATATACAATTCTCTATCTCTATACAAATTTTTAGTGTTTTCATACTTTCATACTGAATAAATTTAATTCGATTTCAACTTAAGTTCAACTTTCCAAACATTCGAGGGCAAGCTCAAACAATATTTTTATGCTC